ATTTGATGAGTTGATGTCAATTTTAGGGTTTGAGAAAATATTGTTCTTGATTTGAATTGCACTAAAGACTACAGGCAAAGGTGAATATTTCAAACAACCAAGGCAATCGTCATGTGTCCAAAACACTCAGAGTGAGGGTAGGAAAGCTCCATTCTCACTTCTTCTCCACCACTTAAAGCTTGTGGCACACAATTCAAATCATATTTTTAAAGTGTTTTTTGAGTTTTTTTCAAAAACTGCCACTTGACGTTGGATCAAGGGTTTTATTGAAAAAATGTCGTTTGACGTTGGATCAAGGGTTTTCATTGAGAAAAAAGGTGAGGTCAATCCTAGTTCCTAAGGATAGCTAGCAAGAAAAACCAAATCAAAGGAAAGCAAAAGATAAAGAAAGTACATCAAAAGGGGAGAGGGGTACATGAAAATACAAGGGATGTGTGCAAGAAATAAAGGAGTCTCATTGTAAGGTGGTCCAAGAAAAATCCATGTGTGTACAAAGTGTCATAATCTAGGCAATGAAATAAGAGTCCAAGTTTAAGTCTCCTTTTGCTTGGGTCAAACACAAGGTCTAAAATACTCCATGATGATAGGGTCATTCACAAAGTCCACATGTTCATAATAAACTCCGTATCATTCTTAGGTCATACACAAAGTCTGATTGTCCATTTATGTCTCACAAATCTTTTATTAGATTTTTCCATCTTATCATGTTTTTTTAGTTCATTTTAACAAGATAAAGAATAAAGATCAAAGAAGAAGAAGAAGAGGAAGAAAATGACATAAAGGTAAAATGCAAGAAATAAATTAGCAACAAAAGTAAATTTCAAGAATTAAATGGCAAGAAGTAAAAGTGCAAGAATGTAAAAGTTAGAGGTTAAATGGATTAGAAGTCAATAGTTAGTGGTTAATGATCAAACGATCAATTAATCGAATCACGACAATCTAGCGTTATGTTGAGCAATCGTAACACGATCCATATAAATATCATATTATGGGAGGCCGGACAATAAAATTTATACGTCAAACATATTAGAGAATTAATAGAAATTAATCTCCTAAAATATGAAATGCAATAGAAAAGAAAAAAGAATTCAAAAAAGATTAAAGCTCAATTAATTGTGAAATGATATTTAAAGGAAAATAAATATTTTTAAAACAAATTAAAAAACGAAATGATTTTTAAAAAAAAAAAGTTAAAACAAAAATGAAAGAAAAGTGAAAGCAAAATACAAAAACAAACAAGAGGGAGGGGTGTATGCCAGCGCGCAAGGAACTGAATAGCAATTGAATGGGCCTAGCCCAAGGAACACAAGAATCTGGCCAGGGGGTGTATGCTCAATGCAGCAGATGCAAAAAGCAACTACTAATGGGCTTGGCTTAAGGAGAAGGAACAAGTGTACATGGAGGTATCAAAGCAATAGAAAAATTTTACCTCATACCCCATCATTTATTCCCCTACCCCTATATTATATTTTTTTTATTAAAATATCCTCATACAAATAATTGTAAAATTTTCTTGATTTAATTATTTGATTCAGAATTTAATAAATAAATCTGTCTTTAGAAACTATATTAATATTCTCAACAAACATGGTAAGTATTATCTATATCTATTATATAATCTTATAATATTTCCATCAAAGATTTTCCGCTAATTTTTTAATATTTAATTAATTAAATAAATATAAATATATTTATTATTAACTCTATCATTTAAAACTTCTGACTAAGTCACATTCTTATATTTTTAAATAATTATAATTAACAAATGCAATAAGACACTGCCTGAATTTTTTAAAAATGCAGTCACCTACCAATAATATATTTACCATAGTAACTATCCAGCATAACTTTTCTCTTTATTCTATTAATTAATCTTTTATTATTAATAAATAAATATTATTATTATTAATTAAATAATAATTAAATTAAAATATTTAACATGTTTAATTTTCAAATTTTTCTTCACTCAACCCTCTCTATTTATATCATACAAACAATTAACATCTCTCTAACCCCACAATAATAGGACATATAGTAATATTAAATTAAAAAAATAAATAAATAAATTAGACTTATAATGCAAATCTTAAAATTACTTAATACAAAAACAAATTATTAAATATAAAGTTAAAACAAAAAATAAAGGCAAAGATTAAACTAATCATAATACAAATCTTTATTTTATTTTTGGTTTTCTATTTTTCTAACTATTTCTTTGAATACTCTTATTTTTTCTTAACTTTGTCTTTTTTCTTAATTTAGAAAAACTTTGTTATTACTAAAACTTTTTAAAATTACTAAAAAACTTAAAAATGCTCTTGAAGTTTAAAAAAAAAAAGACAAAGTTAAGAAAAAATGAGAGTATTTTTAATTTTATACTCACACAATATTAACTTTGTTTGTTTGGTGGTTTAAAAAAAAGACAAAGTTAAGAAAAAAATAAGAGTATTTTTAAAAATAAGAGTATTTTGTTTGTTTGTTTGATTTTCTATTTTTAAAAAAACTTTAAGAGCATTTTTAAGTTTTTTTTAGTAATTTAAAAAAAATTTAGTGATAACATAGTTTTTCTAAATTAAGAAAAAAGACAAAGTCAAAAAAAAAAAGAGTAATCAAAAAATAGTAAAAAAAAATAGAAAACCAAAAATAAAATAAAGATTTGCATTATGGTTAGTGTAATCTTTGCCTTTATTTTTGGTTTTAACTTTATATTTATTAATTTATTTTTGTATTAAGTAATTTTAAGATTTGCATTATATGTCTAATTTATTTATTTTTTTAATTTAATATTACTATATGTCATATCATTGTGGGGTTAAAGAGATGTTATGGATGGAGAGTTGTTAATTGTTTGTATGATATAAATAGAGAGGGTTGAATGGAGAGAAATTTGAGAAATAAACATGTTAAATATTTTAATTTAATTATTATTTAATTAATAATAATAATATTTAATTATTAATAATAAAAGATTAATTAATAGAATAAAGAGAAAAGTTATGCTGGGTAGTTACTATAGTAAATATATTATTGGTAGGTGACTGTATTTTAAAAAAAAATCAAGACGTGTCTTATTCTATTTGTTAATTAATAATTATTTAAAATATTAAAATGTGACTTAGTTATAAGTTTTAAATGATAGAGTTAATAATAAATATATTTATATTTAATTAATTAATTAAATAAAAAAATTTTAGCGGAAAATCTTTAATGAAAACATTATAAGATTATATAATATATATCTATAATAGTTGCAATATTTGTTAAGAATATTAATAAAGTAATTTTTAAAGATAGATTTATTTATTAAATTTTGGATCAAATAATTAAATTAAGAAAATTTTACAATTATTTATATGAGAATATTTTGGTAAAAGAATATATAATGTAAGGGTAGGGGAATAAATGAGGGGGTATGGAGTAAAGTTTTCACTCCTTTTTCACTTCAAATTCTTGCACCAAATCCAAATCACATGTCTTGTAACACAGCGATGAAATGCTTATGTCTTGTAACACAAGCGATGAAATGCTTACAAACCTTGAACGATGAATAACAAGCCAATTGAAACTTCAAAGTATGGAAATGAACCACACAGTAACAAAGCCCTAACTTCATTGATGATCACATGGATAGGATGCAAACCAAATCCAACTGGTAAATGCAAGCATAAGAAATGAATCTCAAACCCAATAATCCACAATAATTTTCGTTCAAGAACAAACCTCTAGAATAAAGAAACTTTAATCCAATGAAACCCTTGCTCATACCATGCACACTGATCTAATGTCTCAGATTACTTGTTCAATGAATGAATGCATAGTCATACGATGACCTGATGAAATGATGCAAATGAAATGAGCAGCCTAAGCCAATCAGAAGCATAATTAAAAGGACAAATTTTGGGATGACACCGGAGCCAACAAAACTACTGTGTGGTGCAAAAATGTTCTCCGAAAATTGAGACCTTAAGTAAAAAAAAAAAACGTAATTTTAACATCTTGCTTGCTCTTATTAATGAGAAAAAGCAAGTTCCAGAAATCGCAATTATTGAATTAGCAAATTCTAGAAATAGTTTAATTAGTAAGTATACAATACATCTCTATTTATTGAATTATCAAAGTTCTAGAAATGTATTTTTGAAAATTTTTAAAAGATACATTTTCAGAATAATTTTATTCATAAAATTAGAGGCTAATTAAAAAACGAATGATAGTGTGTATATTAGAATGCCTCTGAAAATCCATCTCCAAAACATCTTCAAAAATTAAAAACATTTTTTAAATCTTCAAAAATTAAAAACATTTTTTAAATTTAGTCTGGTGCCTAAATAACATCTACAGTGCAATAAAAAATCCTCTAAAAAAATGCCCCTCAATTATAAAAGTAAGAATGACCCATTTGGCTCACAATTTGTTTTGTAGGTTGACTTTATGTACTCAATTCTCAAACCTATTTTATTTCGTCCTACATTGATTGAACTACTTAAGAAAATATTTACTCTAAAATGAAAAAAATTTCAACTTCTAATACGACAATCCTTTTTTTTTAAATTACATCCACTAATTAATATTAATTGAGTTACTCTAAATTTAACAAGTTATTATCGAACCGTAGTTGAAATTTATAGTATAAATTACGATGAAAATGAAGTAATCATGCAAACATTTGAAATAATCTAAACCATGTGATTAAAGAAAAGTAAACAATATGAAAATGAATTTGAGGCCATAAACACTTGCTTTAAATTGTAACCCAAAGAAAGAATAGCCTCCAAAAACAAAGACACGTACACTAGTTACTTTACAGTCTACACAATATTAACTGAAAAGCTCTACGGAGCCAATATATTCATTGCATGTTTGATATTTATGGTGGCAGCACCCTGATTTTACAAAAACTATACCCCAAACCTTTGCAAATTTATGTTAGCTCACCGTCCAACAAACACACCGGAAATCAAAATACGCAAAGCCAGATAATTATAATGTAAAGAACAAAGCGCTTATTCAGCATTTATATCTTCAACCGATTTCTTATATTCAGGCTTCAGCTCGTAAGTTCCTTGGTTGGCACCTCTTTTATTGTATACACACAGTTCATTCAAGATCTCTTTCAAGAATTGCTGTAACAGAAACATCATGTTAATAACTTATACCTTAAATGCCAGAGCTATCAGAAACCAAAATCAGGGTGGGCCAGCAAGGTCTAATGCCGCACTAAAACAAAAAAGCTGGAAGAAAAACATACCGCGGGTTGATCAGTTTCTTGGACAAGTTGCTTCAAAGCCCAGTTAGGCTGTCTTTCGAATAGTTTGAACATAATATCCTCCAGCTCTCCCCGATCTCTTCTTGTTCTCTTTGTATCAGTTTGTTTGACTGGCTGTGTCCTCTTTTTATCCTACAAGAGTTTCATAAGAATAAGAAAAGTCCCCACAGAATAACTATATGCACACACATTTGCAGGAAAAACCTTCTCCAAGGAGCAATTCCAATTAATTATTTGTGATTTGCATCAATTTTGTCGTCATATCAAAATACGCCTTTTTTATTTTTTATTTTAATGACCTAATGAATACACCAACGGGTGGATATTATATCAGTGTTTTAGAGTTGTGATATGGATTTCAACATTATAATTTATAACACGAATGCAAAATAAGTACCTTAAAATTGGATGAAACTAAGCCAACCATTCCAGGCATTGGCCTCATGTGCACTCCTCGAATATCCTCAATAACCTTCCGGTTGAATCAAGGGAACCAAAGAATCAATTATGTTATCAAACAGATAACAATAACTATTAAGTGATAATTCAATGATAAACATGAAATGCTACCTGTACTTGTCGATTTTTAATCATAGATTTCTTTGTCCTCTCCCGGCACAATTTTCCATAATCGTCAATGTTTTCATGACGTGGCTTCATGTCAAACTTATGCTCTACTTTCCCTTCCATTGCAACCTTGTCACCTAAAATAAAGGTAAAGCTATTACCTTACTCTAGGAAGCCAAACTTTATTGTGACAACTGAAAGAAAAATAAGCTGTATAAAAAATAGTACTCAATTATTTTTATTTTCAAATATAGACCACAACTCACAGTTATCAGGAACTCCAAAGAAATAAAGGAACATTAGTTGTGAACTTGTGTTCACTAACATGAAACAATGGTTGAAATTCTTAAAATAAAGGACCTTCCATGTCAGATTTACTTTCAATTCTCAACAATAATAGTAGGTGTGTAGTGGATGCTACTAGAGGTGGCAAACGAAATGCCTGCGCCGTTTAGGCCCGCCCTGCAAAAGCCCGCGAAAAAAGGGATGGGCGGGGATAGTTGAGGGTGCGGGCCTAAAATTTAGCCCGCCCCACACAAAAAGTGAGGGCGGGGCAGGTCCGCGGGCACCACACATTTTAAGCCAAAAAAAAAACATTTATGTTAATGTCCATGCCGCAAAAGCCCACAAAAAAAAAACAGGGTGGGGCGGACATATTAGAGGGTGCGAGTCAAAAACATTGGCCCGCCCCGTACTAAAGCGCTGGCAAAACGGGTATACCCAACGGACCAGGCCCGTTTTGCCACCCCTAATGACTGCTGCTACCAAAGATAATAATTACATTGTAAACAGCATCTAAACTCAGTATTGAAAAAGTAGGAATCATATCTCAAATACACATAGCATGGAAGTGCATTATGCCTCAATTATGCCAAAACAAATATAGTTATTTTTATGGAAAATATCTTTTATAAGTCATAGTTGAATTGCAGAAGTTAAGCCATGTTACTTCACCTCTGTTTTTTGAACTGCAAAACAGATTTCTCACAACTTACAGTTGAAATTAAGAGAAAATGAAAGACCGCAATATCACACTAGAGACATAAAAGCATAGGAACCTTTGTGTGTCTTTAAACAAAAGAAAATATATTTTGGAGACTAAAACAGACAAGAAAATGAATTATTAATTTCATGTGGCTTTAAATGATCTAACATCAGAACAACAAAAACCAATGTATCACTAAACGTAATATCTGAACAACGGAATTCAACTAGTTTAATAACCACCAACTCAGCATAATCAGCAATAACATAATAGTTGAACCATGGTTATCTGGAACTTACGAAAAGTATCAAATCGAAATAAGAGTCACATATATTATAACTTATGATACATGTGAGTCTTATCTTGATTTGATACTTGATAGAATTCAATCGATACCAATCTCTATTGTGTATCTATTTAGACATGAATCTGATCTTAAACTCTGATTCTTTATGACGAATCGCGATTAACTATGATGAATCCCAACATGATTCTTTCTAATGAACCCCGACTACTTTGTATAACCAACCACTTTAATTATTTAATATTTGACTTGAATCTTGAATTATTGAGGTTCATATATGATACGCACATCTATATAAGGTTATAATTTAGTTTTGTCACATGATTCGATTCATGAATCAGAAAAAAGGTCTTCTAATTGACGATTTGAATCTAGATTTGATAACCATGATTTGAACCATAACCCTGATGGCAACATCACAAGTTTTATTTTACATGTCTGTGTCGATAAACAAAATATCAAAAAATAAACATCATATCATCTACATGATGCGAGACATCTAACGTGTTTGTGCACTATAATCTTGCTCCAATTTTGAAATTGCAACTGATGAGAAGGAGCTACAACAGTGACAACCGACATCGAGCAGAGATTGAAATTCTCACCTTCGCTTGTCTCAGAGAAGATGCACATAGGAACAAAGTCTTTAAACATATTCAAAGAATAAGCTTTTGCCATATTCACAGATTCAGTGCCGGACATCTCCATTGTAAACTGACATGATAATGAAAGAGTTATAAATCAACGACTGTCTCAAAGCAACACAGGCAAAAAATATTTAATCAAAAGGAGTTAACTACATTACGCTGAAGAATCTAGAAATTAAATCTTTGTTCCTCTTGCCCAGTTAATAAATATGAATGTTATAATAGAACATAACATCTATAATAACTAATAAGCAATCCTTGAAATATGGAAATTATTTGATTTATAACCTAGTAATCAATCGTGGATAATGGCACATGGTGACTGACCCCAACATTGTAAAGCACGGTCCACATTCGAATCAAGGGAAAATGAGATTTCACATGGGCTTAAAAGTCTGTTGCAACCATGGCTATCAAATTGAGATTCAAACAATTAATCCAAAGACTACTTTTCAAATGTTGATTCAAACAATTAATCCAAAGACTATTTTTCAAATGTTGATTCAAACAAGTGACATACGCAAAAAAAAAAAAAAGTATCTATTGGTATGTTATATTATATGCAATGTAGTCAAGCACAAGATCTTAAGTAGGAACAGTCGGCTTGTGATATAATTCAAGCTCAAAAAAAGACCCAACACACTTTTCTTTACAATCTTGCTTCAAAAAACTCGATCTTGACCACACCTGTGATGAAAACGATCTTTCTCTAATCGTAGCACTCTTAGGCATCCTTGGCATGTAAGATCGAAAATTTTACGATCCAGCACTCAATCTTGACTACAATGATTATATGTGGACTTCAAAATAATTCAAGATTAGTTGTCAGCTATATGAAGTGGACAAGTGGCTGGATGCCCAAAGCCTCAGGGTCAAGTTATGATTCATGCTATTCATCCGAATGAAGATTTATTTTGCAATTCTTAACGGAAATAGATATGCATGTACAACGATTCATATCGGTCGGGCTATGCACGATAATCTTGGTGACACAACTTTTCTGTAATTTTCCATTAATTAAGCTGGCTAATAGCAGTCCCTGCGACATAAAATGTAATATGGTATATCCAAATCCAAATTAGTTGCTGAAACCAATCATGGTTTGAAATTGCACTCCCAACCTTAATTGCGGCAGCAATATTGCGGATGCGGTAGCCTCCGCAACCGCATTGGAACGAAAAATAATTTGAATTAAAATCATGTGTCTGGACGCCACTAAAAATCAAATCAGACAATTTCATCCATGTTTCTTCAAATATTTTCATCAAAACTCAAACTTTCAGAACACCAAAACTCAATTTACTTCTTATGTATGAGAAATGTTACCATCAAGTGTTTTTTAACGGTATAGTTAAAACACTCCCAATTAAAATTCACACCCCAAAAGCCGTAATGCTCATTGCAACAACCGCAATGACCACAATTGCAACAATCACAACCACGTCCAAAATATATGCCATCCCTATAACTTAAAATTCAATTCCTAAAATTAAGTGTTCAAATCTAAGCACACAAGTGTACTAGTCCAAAATTGCAATTGCATAGGGTTTTGACAAAGATAAAAAGAAAACTATCCATAACAAAATTAAACCAAATAACTAGGGTTAAAATCGGAATAAAGAAGAACCTGAAGATGAGCAGGATCGTCTTCAGGAAGCAGCGGATCAATAGAAAAAACGACTTTAGAGAGCGGTTGAGAAGGCGGATGATTCTGCCATGACTTAGCAACAGCCACCGGACACTTCATTAACCACACCGATCTCTCTGCCTTTGAAGTCTCCAGCGTTGAACCGCTACTTCCACCGTAACCGTTTTCTTCTTCCATCTTTATTCTCTCTTTCTCTTCCTTCATCTATGGTTCTCGTCGCCGATACAATTTTCTTCGCTTCTGCTTCTTCTAGTCAATTTTATTTGACCTCGATTTGTTGAAACTAAAAGGGCATTTTGGGCCAATAATAATACTAATTGCTATCCGTAGTATAGTTATTTTCTAATACACCCCTCTATTGAGGTTTTTTTTTTTTTTTTTTTTATATCTTTTGAAAATTGAATAAATGAGTAGCTTATTTCTTGGAATTATATAACTCTTGAAAAATTCAGTTTATAAAATTGAGAAAACATAAATTAATTAGTTAAATTTAAAGGATGCCAATAAAGTAAGATATTTATCAAATTTTTTTGAAAATTTGTACTTTTAAAGTTTAACTTGATACATTAAAAAAAAAATTATGCAATAACACTTACGTGCCACCACCGAGGTACAAACTTGAACTATATATATTTAATTTTTTTTATCAATGCATCAAAAAATAATTGATCATTTTTAAAATATTAAAAAAAATATATAGATATAGATGTCTTTATATATAGAAGATATAGAATATAGCTATAAATGTCTTTATATAGATTATAGATTACAAGTCATTTTAATAATTGAGGATTGTTTCTCTCATCCTAAGCATTGTTTTTTTACTTTAGAAAATGCATCTTCATACGCCTCGCCTCATTCACACAAAATCCCTTTATTTTTTAGCTACATCCATTTTGATGACAAAATTTAATCTGAAAATGAATCTTTGTGTAACTTACAAAATGCACGTCTGAACTTTTTTAACCAAATACGCGCCAGAGTTTTTTCTTCTTCCTCACTTCTCAAAATACTTTTTCAACTCACACACCCTCTAAACTCTCAAAATCTCTCACCTTTCAAAGTCTTTCAACTCACAAACTCTCAAACTCATTCATCTCATTTTCAAGTTTCTACCATCAACATCCAATATATCAAAAGCTCAGCATCAAACTCACATTTAGTAAGTTTTTTATTTCCTTTTTTTAATTTCTCTATATTTTTTTTTAGTTCTGTATACATTTGTAGAAATCGGATATTAGGTTATGTAATAGGTAGTTTAAATGTGTTATTTAATCGAGAAATGTATATGATAAATAGTTTAAATGATCAATGTGTTTTTTGGATGTTTGATTCAAAGGCATTTTTTCCATTTTCGTTCTTTTGAGTTGCAGAACAATCCAAAAATGCATCTCTAGTTTTTTTCAACGTTATGTTTTCTAGAATTCGAATATGCACTTCTGGATTTTTCTGTCTACATTGGTTGGCTTCATTTCATTGTGTTTCATATATATAATGCTTGTGTGGTTTAATTATAAACATTATGGTTGATAACCAAGATAGATTGTAGCACGACAGCGTGGTGCAGCATGCATCGGTTCGGAAGGAAAGAGCTTGATCATCGCAGGCACCGATCATTTCTTGTTTGGTTGATGCGGATGCGCCAACTTCTAAAGCTTATGCATCTCCGTCTTCGTCTTCCCGAAGAAGGAAATTGTATTCGCCTTCATCTTTGTCGTAAAGAAGATCTGCATCACCGTTCAAGATCTTCAATTCTCCAACTGCGTCCATTTCTAGTTCTTGAACAGAACGATTGTAAGAGCACAAATTGTGTCTTAGTTATATCTCTATGTTTTGATGATAACACTTATAAATTTTGTATTCAAGAATTATATACTCTAAAAGTGTTCTAGATTGTTTGCTACAGGCACTAAAGAAAATTATCTTAAGAAAGCAAAATTGGATCTGAACATTGTTTTTATGAAAGGCTTCATAAGTTCAAGAGCATCTTAAGTGAAGATCTGAACACTGCTCCCAGAAGAATCTGACTACTGTCTCTTGAAGATTCTGAAGAAGGAGCCTCTAAAGCATAGAAGACTCTGCTCTGAAAGATTCACACGCTCAAGCACACAAGCTGCACATACTCTGATTCAGCTCAATCTGAAGAACATTCAAGACTCTGAAGATCCAGATGATCCTTAGTCTGGAGACTCTGAAGATTCAGATTCTAATGTTGAAAGCTGAACTTACTTTGAAGAAGATTTAAATATGTACGTTGGTTTTTCTCAACAGCTCTTTCCTATTTTGTGCTAGACACAAGGACTCAGACAAAAAGGTTTTATCTGTGCATTCCATTCTGAGGAAAGTTTTCTGCAAGTGAAGACAAAAGGCATCAGGCTTGTTTCAGCACAGCCTCCAATGTGAAGACAAAAGGCTTTAGGCTTTTCTGCACAGCCTTCAACGTAACAAGACTTCTTGGATCTTAGTGCCTATATAAAGAAGTCCACTCCATCTTCTTCAGTATCGAATCGCTAGAAAAATCACTCCTCAAAGCAATCTTTCAAAGCTCTCTATTATATTATTTTGCTTTAACTTTATTCTTAACTTAAGAGAAATATCACTGTTGTGATAACAGCTTATTAGAAGCATTCTTACTCTTGTAAAAGCTTTACATTGTTTGTAAAAGGTTTTCCTTAAGAGGATCCAGTTGGGATCAGTTGCTCTTGAGAAGACTAAGAACAGTTGTTCTTAGGTGTTGCTATTTGTAATCTGTTTGATTAAAATAGTGGATTAAGTCCTTGACAGAGAAAGGCAAATCACTCTTGAGAGGGTGGACTGGAGTAGTTGTTTTCAACGAACCAGGATAAAAATATCTGTGTTCTAATCTTTGATTTTTAGTCTTACTTATTCAACCCCCCCTTCTAAGTAATTTTCTCACCTTCAACGATGACAATGTTTATGGGAAACAACTTTTTAGTCATACGATTTCCATGGTTTCAGATCCAACCTCAGATCTACATGTTCGTAACTTCCTCAGATCATCAAATAGAGATCATTTAGAGTCAGATGTGGAAATCGGCCGCATTCGATCCAGACGATCATTGCCTAAGTAGCAACTTTCCATATCTCCAAATCTCAATTTTCCCTTGGGAACTCCATAAAGAAGAATAATAGATTACCTTAGATCCATGTCCAAATTTGCAATGGAAGTACCAAAAAACAAAGTTGAGTTCCTTGAAGATAACATCAGAGATTCATCCATTTTTCGATCTAACATCATTGTTGTCTCCTTGCCATTGACGTGATGCCTATCGTGGTGGCATCGATGATACAACGAGTTCATAGTTAATATCGTGTTGGTGTAAGGCCTAAAGGTCAATAGTTTTGGTACTTGTATCGAATTATTTATTAATAATTAAGAAGGCATTTCATTGTTATGTTTGTTTTTCTAAAATGATAAAGTCCCTATAATAGATAGTCTATTTAATGAAATGATAAGTGTGGCTTAATCATGAGATCTCATTAAACATAAGGACATTATTCTTAAAATATCCATAATTGAGCTTTATTGTGAAGAAGGATAACATTAAAGCATTGAGACTACTATGTGGATAGACTGATGATCACATCTCATAGATCATGGATAAAGAGTTATCAAAGTCTTTGCATAGGTATGAATATTAGGATTAATATTCATACTGGATTGACCTGCTATGAGAAACTACATAGATAGTTATGCAAAATGTCATAAGTTATTTTCATTGTGATAGTGGTGTATACCACCCTTCGACCTGAAACCACTATGCACTCTAGATGTGGAGTTCAGTACTTTATTGTTGATCAAACATTGTCCGTAACTGGATGACCATAAAGACAGTTGATGTGTACTCCATAAAGTATGCTGAGGGACATGAGTGACATAGATGGAATTTGTCCGCCCCGTGTAACAGGATAAATGTCTAAGAGTCCAATATTGAATTGGACAAGGGTGACAAAGTCTATACCTTGTGTTCAATATAGACATGAGGGCAAAATGGTATTATACACAATAATATTATCAAGAAAATGTTTTTTCATATCACATGACATTTTCTTGACTTGGATAACAGTGATCTGTTGCTAGATATCGCTCACTTTTTATTATATTAAATGTATGATTTAATATAATTGTTAACATCACGAGAACATATAGGGTCACACACATAATGATAGACTGATGAGAGATAGAATAAATAAGGAACATTATAAGGTACGATGTACTTGAGAAAATTATGGAACACCGTAAAGTACAGTGTACTTAAGTGAAATAGGAAACATCGTATAATATAGTAATAATAGTTATTACTATTATTATTATTATAGTTACTGAATATAATAATAATAAAATATGTTTATTATAGGAATAGTTATTATTATTATTATTATTATTATTATTATTATTATTATTATTATTATTATTATTATTATTATTATTATTATTATTATTATTATTATTATTATTATTATGTGGTTCACTTAAGTTGAGTTTTTTAACTTGCAGTCCACACAAATGGTTCTATAAATACAACCGTTGTGTAGAAGCTTTTTTAGTTGATAAAATTCGGTTGGTGAAACTCTGGCCGTAATTTCTCTCTTTTCCTCTTTCACTCAAAGTCTTCATTCGTAGCAGTTAGCACTGAAATTGAATGCACCCTGTTTGTGTGGATTGAGTAGAGGTGTTGTCATTCATTCAACGCTCGTGACCATTCATTTGGATCTGCATCAAAGTTGTTAATCACCACAAGAGGTCATTATTTGTATCACTGGTCATGCTCATTAGTAAGGATCAACTAATGGGAAAGTTTTGTTTTTCGTTACATTTTGAATCGTTATTTCTTTTCAGTGGTATCAGAGCCACTTACGAAACCATGAATCAAGAAGATGTTTATTTTCTTTACTTTCTAATTTAATTCGATTAAAACACAAAATAAATTAAATAATAAAGAAAATTAATTTTGGCATCATATTGTGTACGATTTGAATGATTCGATGTTTACTATGCTTCAGAATCCGACTTTTGTATGGTGAAGCAACGATACATCGATAATTCATAAGTTGCAAAAAATTGATCGATCAATTTCATATAAGATATGAATAATTCGGATGCAACTGCGGTATATTTGATTTGCCTTTTATTTCATCGAATTAATTATGTGATA